GAGAATACTCGACTGTGATTAGTCAATTTCTTAAAGCCCGTATTAGACTACGCATTGAAGATTGAGATTGAAGATTGATGATTGAAATTTGACCAATCAGGACAAAAGGGATTAAAATTTCTTTGTCCTGATTGGTCAAATTTCAATCTTCAATCCTCAATCTCAATCTTCAATGCGTAGTCTGATACGGGCTTAAGCCTTAAGAAATTGACTAATCACAGTCGAGTATTCTCTTCATACTTCATACGAAATTTGACCAATCAGAATAAAGAAATTTTAGTCCCTTTTGTTCTGATTAGTCAAATTCCAATCTTTAATCTTCAATCTTCAATTTTCAATGCGTAATCTGATAGTGAATTCGGTCATTTGCACTGCGTCGCACTGGTGCATATTAAAGACTGCTATACATGTGAAGTTATCTAATAAAAAAGAATAATATAAACATTTTAAGTAATTAAAATCCAATTATAATAAATTGTCATTTTATTTAACAGAACATACATTATTTTTTCATCATCAAAATCTTTATATATTATATCATATACTTCATAAATAGCAGCCTTTAATGTGCACTGGTGTGATGTAATGCAAGTGACCGAATTCGCTATGATATGGGCTTAACGCGGAACGTGAAGGGAACCAATCGCGAGCGTAACAAAAAATGCAGAATGTTCGCGATTGGTTCCACTTCTATATTGTTTATTATGTGTTATGTATTCTCTATCGTTTATTATATGTTATTATATTCACTATAATTATAATTACACACGAAAAATCTTTCATTAAAATTCTTTTTTGTCCGAATCTTCATTTTAATATTCATTTAAAGTATACAAGAATCGGGGCGATGCGTGACGCCGGGCGTAGAGTCGCGGGCTAGTAATCGAGAGATTCCAGGTTCGATTCCGCTCGGGTCCCATTCTTTCATATGCCTCAAAAAGAGGATTTCATATGTTATCCTATATAATCCTATACCAGTTTATGGTTAATCAGTAGCTGTTACACCAATTCCGCTTATATAGACTGCATTCAGCCAGAGAAAAGCGTTTAGTTAGCGCTTTGCGCTGCGCTCCCAACAGTTTTGAGCAGTTTACGATTTCTACTCTCTCTCTTCGTGTGGGGTTGGCACCGGCGAATACTCGCCATACGGCCATAAACTGGTAAATGGACTATATATAGGAATAGGAGGAATATATGAAAACTTCTCTTTTGAGGTATGTGGGAGGATGGGACCCAAGCGGAATCGAATCTGGAATCTCTCACCAATCATCACCAAACGACCACCAAACGATTAGATAATTTTAATTATTAAAAAGTTAAAGTGGTCCGGCTAACTTTACGGAGCCGCATCGCCCCCACGATTTCTGCTAAACGGACTTTTATTGTTGGTAGCGCTACCACCAAGATGGCGTCGACCACCGATATGGGCGCGCTCCGTTTGACCATGAAGTAGGTAAGGAGACAGTAAGGAATTGGTATCTTTATTTTTAGTCACGTGATGTCTTTTGGCGCTGAAAATGAGCATCGAACGTCAGCGTGAAAAAGCTATCGTCTGCGTTGGTTTGACACTATAAGGCCGGATTCACACCTTGGCAGAAAAGCAAAAAGCAGAAAAGCAGAGGCCAATCAGCACTCGCGCTAAGAAAAGCAGAATGTACTGCTTATTTTCAGCGCGAGTTCTGATTGGCTTCTGCTTTTCTAGCACGAGTTCTGATTAGCTTCTGCTTTTCTGCTTTCTGCTTTTCTGCCAAGGTGTGAATTCTCCCTTATGCTGAAAGCGTTTGACTGACCAATTGGGGCAAAGATTCCTCGCGATTGGTCAATCAACGATTACAGCGTCAAATGAACGTGGATCCATAACATATGACTTTACCTTCTACCTTGAACTATCATTTTTGCTATAAAGCCCGATCTGACAAACACACATACATATATATATAGCGCGTGTCATGCATATACTATGGGTAAATCAGTATAGATATATAATGGCCGCGTTCAGCAGAGAAAACCGCTTGGTAGCAATCGAATATGATTGGTTCTTACTTTTAGAACCAGCGAATCAACGTCGAGTGTTGATAAGACGATAACTGAGCGCTTTCTCTGCTGAACGCGGCCATTGCATTACACACATAACTACACACGTATATATTTCACATACACATGTATAACCTATATACAACCGCGTTTTCTACTAGGCCACTAGGCGTCAAACGTCTCTCTCGGGAGTCTCGGGTAATCGGGATGTTAGATTACAGCCGAATAGGTCTCTCGTTTCGCAATGAAACTCGCAAAACACGGCTGCTTAATGTGCATCATTTAATTTTCATCTTATCTACGTGTGCGTATATGTGTATTGTACATGCATAGATACATACATATGCTGCATCTGAATAGATCGCGTATATTTTTGTAAGCTTGGTCGCGAAACTGCGGAATTGCTTTTATTCCAGTGATTGAACTATCGCTATTTGTGTCCAGACCGATTAGTTTTTCGATGTTTCCTTATTGTTCGGAAAATGTGATAGAAGCGGAGCTGCATGAAAGAAAGTGAAAGATTAGAAATTGTTAGCATCAAACAAGTGTTGTGCGATTAAATACGCGATAGTTGCCGCAACATCAAAATGAGATATGTATCCACTTTGACTAGGGACTGTGCTTAGATTTATACAATTATGAAAAGAAGCTCGAGCATATACTTCACCCGAGAGTCCAATCCTATTCTGTAGGCCTATTCTGTAACTTTTAACGACAAATTCGCTATCGTTACGCGTCGTTGCACAGCTATTTTCCGATATGTTTCAGCTGCGTAACGACAAACCATGCTAGTGATATTATCGTTACGAAGTTACAAAATAGGCCTACTGAGGAGAAAACGACTCGTGGAGTATGTCTGAAATAGTTTATCGAATCCTGCGTATAGGATCTTACAGCAGTTGCAAGTAAAACGCGCGGCTCCTGTATCATGAATGTGAGTATATTTGCCAATAATTCATCGTATCTCGAATTAAATCATTCTCAGATGTATCTTTTAATATGATTTTTATTATATCTGGCAAAATCTGTGAATGACTTTGCATGCTGAGGGTACAATCTCATTTTTTTATGTCATCTTGAATTATTGACCTAAAAATCTTGATAAACTTGTTTTTGATGACAACTTTGGGATGTAATTATATTTTTCTATCTATTTTTAATTTGAAGTGTTAAATAACATAAACTTGTTTTAATTTGCAAGAAAGTCTTCTTTTCAGTAGCACTTTCTTACATTTAAACTAGAACATATGTATAACTCAAATTTATGTATATACAAAGAAATTAAATAAAAAGATACATGTAAAAAATTTCCAAAAGTGCAGCTAAAATCACAGACCTTTTGTATGATAATAACATTATTTTAATATAAACTTTTTATTTTTTCCTTTATATATTAAAAAAATACCATTTTTTAAATAATATAAGTAAAAGAAAGAAATATGCCATCATAAATATTTTTATCATTAATAATTAAAAAGTTAATAATTTATTTTTTCATATTATCATAAAACACTAACATTATTTATAAGTATATTAAAACATATTGATAAAACACTAACATATTTAAAAGTATATTGTTAAAATATATATATATTTTTGTGTGATATGTATGTGCATGTATCTATAAGATTACTGTGTGTTGTATGTTTTATCTATTTTAAACTAATTATTTTCAATCATTACTATGCAATTGGTTTTTTGTATTATTTTTGGGTGTATCTTGATTGTATAATCCTAATATAATTTCTCATCCTTTAAACATATTTATAAAACATATAGATGTATTGAATTTTAGAAAATGGATCAATCAAAAAGTTCTTCACAAGTTTTATGTATTGTAGATAGGAATACAATTGTCATTGGCAAATAATTACATGTTTAAATATTTTATTGATGTGATTGGTTTACTGTCTAATCTATTTTTAATTCTCAATACTAGGTGGTCAGCATAGCAGAGAGGTGGTGTCGAGGTGGTTGACACGCCTTCATTTATTTGAGATGATTGAAAGTGTATCACGCAGAGCGTTGAGTGGCTCCAGTGGGAGATACCACGAACGTGGTAGCTCCTTTTTGCTGAACTAGTGAGGAATCGCAGATTAAAATCTTTATCAGCCGTCGTTACCTTTCTGATGATACACAGCATACATTTCAATTAGATGTAAATATAAAATTTTCTTATAGATTTAATAATGAAATCATATTCAAATATAATAAATGTGTTTATATTTGCGCAGAAACGAGCAAAAGGAAAATAATCACGTATTCTCGTAAAGATCGCTTAGTTTGAATTATGTACAGCTACACTAACGATATATGTCGTAGAGAAAGTTGCAGTACTCGTTAAAGAAGCGTACTTTCACTTCTTGTATTCGTCATACTCACTGAATAGCTCTTCTATTCTGCCGTTTATTGCACATGTCACGGGAATTTCAATCTAATCAAGGCACGACAGGATTATGAGATCGTATTTTTCGTTTTTTATTTTGTGCTAATTTTATTGTCTCTTATTATAATACATATCTATACTGAACTGCCGATTTATATTTATTTTTGTAGAACTTTCACTTTCTTTTATATATACAGCCGTTCGTGCGTGTGAATGATGTAAATCTCTATCAGAGAAGTCATTTTATAACAATATACAGTTCCGATCACCTTACGATCACGCTGTGTTACAAAAGTTGAATAAAAAAATAGTTACCTTAGAAATGATGTCCCATTTCATTTTCTCTGTAATCTCTCACACATACATTGTACTAAAAAATCATGTATATATCTAATAGTCTATATAATAATACTATTATATAATATAGTGATGAATTTCTCTCGAGTAAGTAGGGCGTTTTAATAAAAACAATCATTTTCATGTATCAACATTACATACATTTTGGAATATAAAAATCACAAATGACATTTGTACATTAATGATAAATAACTTAAGAGCAATGTTATTTCAGACGTTAAGTGTACAAATCTCTGAGAACTAGGCGCGCAAATGAGTTTTGGATAACATTCGATTCATTTCTTCACCTTATGAATCAATAACCCTTTCGTTTTTTCAGCATACATATAATGTATGATGAGAGAAATTGCAAGTATATTTCCAACTCTTTAAATACTTAAAATAGCCAAGAAAAATTCGCTATCGGGGCCAACATTATATGATGAATCGTATTTGCCATGTTTAGTACACTGCCTGTTTAGTACATTGTCTTGCATTTCTATCATTATTTTCTTTATATAGCTCGCAATCTGCATGTTAGAAATGCTTGTGTTAATGCTGCTTTATGTTACATCATATTTTTTACAAATATAGATACGAAATTTGGATATACCTTTCATTGATTCGAAAATATTACGAGATAGAGGATAAGATTTTAAGATAATGCCTCTTGGAAAAAGGAGATACTTTTAATTTATTCCGTTAATTCATTATCTACAGGGTCTCCGGTAAAGATTGTGCCAACGCTCGTGAGCGGCTAGAGCACAGTAAACTGAACAGAAAAGTCCTGTAACATTTTTTTATATAACGCGTAATAAAGGAATTATTATTGAGTAAAGTCTGGCCAATCAGCGCCAACCTTTAGCCGGGCGCACGTCAGTGAGCCCCGCGCTGTGAAGTGTGCGCCGCCGCATACTATCAGGCGGGCGGCTCACCGACGTGCGTCCGGCTAAAAATCGGCGCTAATTGACCAGATTTTACTCAATAATAACTCCTTTATTAAGCGTTATATAAAAAAATGTTACAGGACCAGACTTTACTCAATAATAATTCCTTTATTACGCGTTATATAAAAAAAATGTTACAGGACTTTTCTGTTCAGATTACTGTGCTCTACCCGCTCACGAGCGTTGGCACAATCTTTACCGGACACCCTGTATATACACTATATGCGTTGTTCGAAACTTATTAAAACGGATGTATATTTTTAGAGTGATCCTTACATTATCAAATGAGGAATGGAATGAGATATACATACTTAATCTTAAAAACTACATTAATTACCAAAAACACAAAAATTATAAAATAAAAAAAGGAAGTAATCAAATTCTCTTTTCTGTACTTTTTTGAAGAAATACTAAACAGGACTGAAATTTAATATATATGCATTCCAACATATTTTCATATAAAATTTTTTTTACATGTACATTTAAAACGTGATTGCAGGATATTAATGTATATATTCACTGTTAAGATTGATGTACGAATTTATTGAATATTAAAGCAAACTAAATATATACGAAAACTTAAATATTCGAGAATGAAATATTCGAGAATTCGGAAAAGAAATAACCATACAGCGCCATAAATAATCATACATAATTAATTCACTCCTGCTCATTCAATGTAAGAAAATGTACTATTTTTATGGATTAGCTAATTGCTACATCTTAAGTAAGAGAGTTACTTAGAATCAGCATGGTATTTGTTGTGATTTTCTGTGTGCTTCCTTTTCAGTGCGCAGATCCTTCGCATTTACTTTCTATAAATATTTAGTAATTAAAAATGGGTAAATGAATTAAAAATGATAAATATTTATAATCATGAATGTATTAATAATTATTTACCTAGATTTCTTAGACGCCCTATCATTTCTTTCCGAACTGTCTTCGCGGGAGCGTTTTTTACTGTTGGATGAAGAATGCGACTTACTTTTATCACGCTTATCATGTTTGTCATTCTTCTTGGGGCTAAACAAACAAATTTCCAAATTATAATGACATTAAAGAAATAAAACTTAACGGCAATCACCTGTGTTTAGATGATTTGGAAGGAGACCCTTTCTTGTGCGAGCCCCCACTCCGTGATCGATCCGTTCTTTAATTATCGAAGTACAAGACTCAATACAATTTCGCAAAAAAGAAACTTGCACTTTACATAGGAATATATTATTTTTAAGCTACAATAAATCCATATTATATTACCTGTGTTTGTCTGGTGATCGTTTATCCTTACTGCTGGACGAACTTTTGCTCTTTGAATTCGTGGAACTCTTGTGCTTATGCCTTATAAACAAAACAAAAAAACATATGTATTCACAATGTTTAATAGGTACTAAAATATCAAATATATTTGTGTGCATGATACCTGTCTTTTGAAGGAGATGGAGATTGTCTTTGATTCGATTTCTTCTTCTTGCTGGAACTATAATCATCACGGTAACGATCATCTCCTCTCTCCTTGTCCTCTTCAGCCGCTTCTCGTTCCAAATCTGACCAATCTTTACCCGATTCCTCAGAACTGCCTAATTCTTCCTCTAGAAAAATACCCCAAACAAAAAATATGAAGTGAGTTAAAAAGTAAAAGAACAAATTAATAAAATATAATTTAGGACAGCAGTACCTTCACTGTCATATGTATATATATTGTTTCTGCGTTTTTAGAGAATTCATAAAAGATCTCACACCTCATATGCATCATCTTCTTCCTCCTCTTCATCTTCAGCTTCTTCATTTTCTGCATCACTTTCAGGATCTAAGAAGGTCCAGCCTCCACTATCAAAGAACCCTTCAAGATCGTCTGTTATAGTCTTCATAATCTTTGTCCAATTTAGAGATTGAACACCTTCCGAATACCGAATATCACATGAACTAAAAAAAAAAAAATACGTTTTATAAATATAATAATTATAATATATATCGTGTATGTATATGTTATATATCTTCTCCAATGTAGACCTATTAACTTTATATTAAATAATATATCTTCTTCGAAGATATATATCATCACTTACTTTAACCATTCCTTGACATGATCCAACATATTCATAGGAATGGCATTTACCATCGCTATCTTTCTGTGATAATCTTTGAAGACAAAAATCATGTCAAAATTCTTCAAATGGAATTGTACTCTTTCAAAATGAACCAATTCAATATCTTCTAATGTAATGACAAATGGAGGCTAAAATTCAATGTTGTATACAATGTATCATTTATTTTGTTTTGAAATATTGATTTTGTTTCATCACAATATATACATTACCCATTCTGTGAGATTAACCAAACATCCGCTAGTTGGTTGAAGCAAGACAGTGCTTCTATATGGTACACCAGGAAAGCCCAAGTCCCGAAATGGAGTATCAAATTCAATTTCTTGCTTTATCATTCCTTCAACCTTTGTACAACATACAGATACAATATCGTTAGTATAATTAAGCCCAATAATCTGCAATTTTATATACACACCTTTTCACAGAAACTCCTAAAAGCAGTTTTTAATTTATGTCTCAATTCTCGTTCCGACTGTTCAGCAGCAAGATCGTCGCGGTCATGCATGTGTTGATGTTTACCTAAATCTGTAGTAATTTCTCCAACTTCGGTATAAAATTGTACATCTACATGTTTCTTTTTGCCAAACATAATAGCATGCTGAAAATATAATAAACATTTGTATAGTTATGTACTATACAGAGATGCAGGAAATTTATAGATTATATTAAAATAGAAATTAATATTGCTTTTGTACATAAAATGACAATTAAAAGATTCTGTTAGACATTAATTTTTAATACATACTTTTAAATGGAAATGAAGCAGTATAATCATTTCACCATCACATGGCTGGAAGAAGGCGTTTTTAATATTATTATAAAGAATGTCCACTTTATCACCGCGGACCGAAGTGTACCGAAATCCATTTGTGTGCGCTTCTAAACCACCCGTCATTCTCTTTGTGACAATATTTGGTCGAATGTACAGATCTTTCAACTTTGGATTGCCTTTATTCTGTGACAATACTAAAGTATCCTGTTTTACGAGATCCTCCTTCTCTCTTTCTTCCGCTTCTCGATTTTTGAACTTCTTTTGAACTTCTTTAATTAGTCTAAAGGCTGTATTTAAATTTGACGATGGAGCGGAGATCTCACCGGGCTCTTTGGTATTTGTGCTTCGATATGTTACTTCTTTAACAAATGTTGCATCGGGCTGAGGATAAGATCCACCTTCGTTTCGTCCCATTGTTGCACCGGGATGAAAAAAGTTTATTCTAAGATACGTATAATCTCCCTCTACCGACTGTGAAATGTTTTTAATTGTCGATATGTGGAAGGGTACTGGAATACCAGAAATTGGTAAAATCACAGTCTCATACTTCTTATCCACATATAACTTTAACTCTTTGACCTCTGGTTCACGTGGCATGTGGCTCAAACTTTTGTATGATACTGTGGATTTACGTATTTTTTCTTGTTCTTTGCCGCCAGATTGCTGGGCCAATCGAGCCTTAGCAACTTCGTTCAATTGCTGAGCTAACTCTTTTTGATGTTGCTTCCTCTTCTCTTCCGAACTATGTTCTGTTCTCAATTTAGATTCTATTACAGCTGTTCTTTTTCCACGTCCCAGGATTTCTGGTTTTCGCTCGTTTTCTTTTCCACTTCCTTCTTCTTCTTCATCTTCATCATCTTTCACATATATACCTATATTTTTCACTTTCTTTTTCGATGGAGTCAAATTAGTAGCAGGCTGTCCTTCGTTCACCATGACTGTATCGCCTATGAAAAGGGCATATATTTTCCCTTCCTTGTCTGTTGCATCTGGATTAGTAAGGTTTGCAAGACCGACATTCACATTGAATACCATGCCCTTTTTAGCTATTGCATTAGTTTTTGGGCCTAAGAGTAAAGAACTTTCTTTAAATTCAATGCCCATAGCAAATCCAAAATTCTTGGTCAAATGATTTAACATTTCTGATTTCTCTTCTTTTACAAATTTAATACCAGCCTCGTATACTTCACTTATTTTTGTTCCTGCAACTAACTTTTTCAAAATCTCCTCTTCAAGTTGTAGCAAAAAATTGTAATTTTCCTATAAAAATGTATTATAAATTATAACATAGAGAATTTCTATAAATTGGAAATGAAGCAGTATAATCATTTCACCATCACATGGCTGGAAGAAGGCGTTTTTAATATTATTATAAAGAATATCCACTTTATCACCGCGGACCGAAGTGTACCGAAATCCATTTGTGTGCGCTTCTAAACCACCCGTCATTCTCTTTGTGACAATATTTGGTCGAATGTACAGATCTTTTAACTTTGGATTGCCTTTATTTTGCGACAATACTAAGGTATCCTGTTTTACGAGATCCTCCTTCTCTCTTTCTTCCGCTTCTCGATTTTTGAACTTCTTTTGAACTTCTTTAATTAGTCTAAAGGCTGTATTTAAATTTGACGATGGAGCGGAGATCTCACCGGGCTCTTTGGTATTTGTGCTTCGATATGTTACTTCTTTAACAAATGTTGCATCGGGCTGAGGATAAGATCCACCTTCGTTTCGTCCCATTGTTGCACCGGGATGAAAAAAGTTTATTCTAAGATACGTATAATCTCCCTCTACCGACTGTGAAATGTTTTTAATTGTCGATATGTGGAAGGGTACTGGAATACCAGAAATTGGTAAAATCACAGTCTCATACTTCTTATCCACATATAACTTTAACTCCTTGACCTCTGGTTCACGTGGCATGTGGCTCAAACTTTTGTATGATACTGTGGATTTACGTATTTTTTCTTGTTCTTTGCCACCAGATTGCTGGGCTAATCGAGCCTTAACAACTTCGTTCAATTGCTGAGCTAACTCTTTCTGATGTTGCTTCCTCTTCTCTTCCGAACTATGTTCTGTTCTCAATTTAGATTCTATTACAGCTGTTCTTTTTCCACGTCCCAGTATTTCTGGTTTTCGCTTGTTTTCTTTTCCACTTCCTTCTTCCTCTTCATCTTCATCATCTTTCACATATATACCTATATTTTTCACTTTTTTTTTTGATGGAGTCAAATTAGTAGCAGGCTGTCCTTCGTTCACTATAACTGTATCGCCTATGAAAAGGGCATATATTTTTCCTTCCTTGTCTGTTGCATCTGGATTAGTAAGGTTTGCAAGACCAACATTAACATTGAATACCATGCCCTTTTTAGCTATTGTATTAGTTTTTGGGCCTAAGAGTAAAGAACTTTCTTTAAATTCAATGCCCATAGCAAATCCAAAATTCTAGCCTAAAAGCTGTATTTAAATTTGACGATGGAGCGGAGATCTCACCGGGCTCTTTGGTATTTGTGCTTCGATATGTTACTTCTTTAACAAATGTTGCATCGGGCTGAGGATAAGATCCACCTTCGTTTCGTCCCATTGTTGCACCGGGATGAAAAAAGTTTATTCTAAGATACGTATAATCTCCCTCTACCGACTGTGAAATGTTTTTAATTGTCGATATGTGGAAGGGTACTGAAATACCAGAAATAGGTAAAATCACAGTCTCATACTTCTTATCCACATATAACTTTAACTCTTTGACCTCTGGTTCACGTGGCATGTGGCTCAAACTTTTGTATGATACTGTGGATTTACGTATTTTTTCTTGTTCTTTGCCACCAGATTGCTGGGCTAATCGAGCCTTAACAACTTCGTTCAATTGCTGAGCTAACTCTTTTTGATGTTGCTTCCTCTTCTCTTCCGAACTATGTTCTGTTCTCAATTTAGATTCTATTACAGCTGTTCTTTTTCCACGTCCCAGTATTTCTGGTTTTCGCTTGTTTTCTTTTCCACTTCCTTCTTCCTCTTCATCTTCATCATCTTTCACATATATACCTATATTTTTCACTTTTTTTTTTGATGGAGTCAAATTAGTAGCAGGCTGTCCTTCGTTCACTATAACTGTATCGCCTATGAAAAGGGCATATATTTTTCCTTCCTTGTCTGTTGCATCTGGATTAGTAAGGTTTGCAAGACCAACATTAACATTGAATACCATGCCCTTTTTAGCTATTGTATTAGTTTTTGGGCCTAAGAGTAAAGAACTTTCTTTAAATTCAATGCCCATAGCAAATCCAAAATTCTTGGTCAAATGATTTAACATTTCTGATTTTTCTTCTTTTACAAATTTAATACCAGCTTCGTATACTTCACTTATTTTTGTTCCTGCAACTAACTTTTTCAAAATCTCCTCTTCAAGTTGTAGCAAAAAATTGTAATTTTCCTATAAAAATGTATTATAAATTATAACATAGAGAATTTCTATAAATTGTATTTTATATAATATAAGAGCTCAAACATGTATTATTATATAATTAATTTTATATATCATTTTCGTTTCCTACATACCTCAATGGTCTTTGTGGGATTAACCAATAAAGTTCTTACTATATTTGAACAATAGGATTTATAACGTGCTCCCAATGAACAAACAATAACACCAAAGTGAAGAGTAGTATTTTTGTCACTAACAGCACTAAACTTAAGCGAATAATTTCCACCACTTTGTATAATGGCAGGGTAACACATATCAACTTGCGTAATATCTACGCCAGATACATATTTCTTATTTGTGATGGCTGTATCTACACCTTCTGCCAATTTTGAATGTTTAACTTTCTAAAATAAATATAAATATACATTTATCTTTTTTATATTCTTTCCTTTTGTAATTCAGTTATAATCTCATATGCAATTAGTGAGAAAATGTACCTTATCTGAATCTATAATCTCCATTATCTGATCTTTCAGATATTTTGTAAAAACATCTACCGATACAAGACAAGCTTTCTTTATAGTAAATATTTCGCTGTCTTCTTTTGGACACATAACGTAAGCAGCCGCAGCACTTACATCAATCTAAATTTACATAGAGAGAAGAGAAAGAGATAAATATTTTGATTTTTAAATTTATATATACTTATGTATTATTTTTTTATCTGGCAAATATTTTATATGCTTACTGTATCAAAAAATTCGTTTTTTAAAGCAGCTCTCCAGGCATCCATAAAAGCACTGGGATAATTTTCTTTCAAAAACACTCCCAAAGTTTTGCCCTTTTTGCTTTGTTTCATCACTTCAATGAGTTTTCCAAAGTTTGCTTTGTCTTCATCACTCTTTAAAATGTCCAAATATTGCTTAGTGCCACTGACAATTTTGATAATGAAATTTCTTATATAAATTGTACAATATACATACTCTGTCTCTCACAAATAACTTTACAGGCGGTACTTCTGTATCTTCGGTTTTATGATTTTCCACTTTCCTCAGAAATTCAATCTTCTTTTTACTGGCCAAGAAATTAATAGACTCCTCTGCCAGAATCATTATTGTATCCGTAAGTTCATAGCTGAGCAGCCATGTCTGAAAAATTTATACAATTATATTAAATTATTTTCTACTCGATAAAAAACACAATTTACCTCGATAATAAGCATGTTTGTTTATTTATTTTTCAATCATTGATACAACTGTACGATATACCTGACTGATAAATCTATAATCTAAATAAATATATTGCATAAAGAACAATCAATGTTTACTCTTAAAAAATATCAGTATATCCTTGTAATAGATTACTTGTAACAAGTACAGGAGATCTGTAGCAAAAATTTATATGAAAACTTTCTGAAATATACATACTTGCAATGCTATGGACTTGCTGTAGACGATGTCTTCGTCGGAGCCGACAGCGGAGACGAGACAGTCCATTTTACCAAAACTGTCATCCGTGCCGACTTCCCCATCCTGTTGACAATAAAAGATTTCGAAATAAATACAAAGGTTGGCTCGCCGGGATACCAAAAACACCGCGAAACACGTGCATCTCCCGCGCACACATACACAGAGCACGCTTACCTTCCATGCGGCGTACAGACGCTTCATGCGTCGAAAAAACATATCTTTGTCAAGAGAAACGTTTGCCATGATCATGATATAAATAACAAGGTGATTATCTATCAGAAGACTAACCAGCCATAAAGATAAGAAGAAGAAGTAACAAAGTGTGCTATCTTCTCGGACGAATTTTCGTCACATTCTGCGCAGCACCAAGTTTCCGCCAAAAGCAAAATTACAATTATACAAGATGGCAAGTGAGAGAGAACGCAAGGGCACGGAACAGAGTATATGTCCTTTTCTACGTGCACCTTAGCCCCCACTCCTCAACACTCAGTCTAGATATACTATGTCTATTGGGCCACCGAACAAGCTTTTCCATAACACGTTACGTTACGTTAAGTACTGACTGTAAACTTAAATTCATACCTAATCTTAAACTTCAGTCAACGCACAAACAAAATCGTAACGTAGTATGCTTTTGTTACGTTACAATGAGTTTTTCATCGCGTCGAGGAATATCTGCACAGACTCTATCTGTCTACACTTGAATAACATGGCGTGCATATCCCTGTAGACGTTCAGGCAATACTCTCTGAACTCGTACGCATCATCTAGCCTCGCCGCGCAGAACTGACAAATTTGTTTCGGTAAGGGATCAGTTTTGTACACCAGCACGGGTAGACAGGCGCGCAGCTTCTGAGCCATCCTGCGCTGCAGACCCTCGTCGCCGAAGATGGGCAACATCTCGTTCCTCTCCTCCGAGCACAGTCTGCAGACATTGTCCCACTTGTCAATCGTGTTGTCCATCGTAAAAAGAGCCGCGTTCATCGAGATACACATTATTCGCGTTATCACGCAGATGAAATCCGCGATCGTAAATTAGGTTAGTTGACACTCGACCAAGTTAGCATGTCTGACGACGAGGCACATCAACATGAGCATGTTTCCCCGATGTTCTGCGACAAGATGTATTTAAATGTATTGCGGGATGTGCCTATTCACTCGTCCCGTAGGTATATACATGTATATCTCCTCGGGAAAATTTTACTTTCACCTTTTCGCTCGTTCAGAATCGGCCTTTGAAGTGCTCGAGTCGTAGGTCGTAGGCAGTGATGCCAGAAACGGGTCCCGCGTCTAGGTGGAGGAGGGAGACCGAGATGTCTTTTTTTGAAACGTTTTATCATGTTCCAGATGTAGGAGATGGGAGTTTGATTGGTTAATGATAGGCAGAAAGATTTCCAGCTCTTTCTTTTAGCTGACTTGAGAGTACGTTTTGTGATGGCTTCTTGTTTTTTGAAATTCTATGAAATTTTGATAGGAGGTATAGTCTGAACTTAAGGCATGGATAGAAAAAACTTACATTTTTTTTATAGTTTTTGGAACGTGAAAAAGTTGCAAGGATTATTTTATGATTCATGTGTCCTCCAAAATTTGTAAACATCTGTAAATCTTTCATAATATAGGGCGTTTTCCAGCAAGGTACACAGACGACACAATGTACTATACATTATCACGCGATTGGCTATATTTTAAATTTCTTCATTTGACAGCCAATCATGTGATAATGTGTAATACACTGTGTCATCTGTGTACCTTGCTGAAAAACGCCCACAGTATTTTGTCCACAAAAAGGAACAAACTTTCTATTAATATATAATCGTCTATCTACAATTTTCTGAACATGGTTATTTTATTAAAGCAACAGAAAGGGGGCGATGCGTGGCGCCGGGCGTAGAGTAGCAGGCTGGTAATCGAGAGATTCCGGGTACGATTCCGCTCGGATCCCATCCTTCTATATGACTCAAAGAGAGATCGGGATTTCTGCACCAAAAATGCGGTATTAAAACCGATTGAAACTAGTCAAATCAAATTTAGTACGCTTCAGGCGGGTTAAGGCGCGGGCACATAAAAAAAACTTAAGCAGTAAAACTTAACCCTGCGGAAAATGGTCGATTAAAACCGATTAAAACATAATCCGTTTTAATCGGTTTTAATCGGTTTTAATCGGTTCAATCCGCGCCCGGATTAAAAAGTAATGGATTTTAATTCCGAACGAATTATAATCGGTTTTAATATCGCTTTCGCGGATTATTTCCAATCTAAAATCATTACATTCTAATCCATATTGTTGTCAA